GGAGAAGCCAGTCACCACTTTCCCAAAAGTGCGGCCGTTTTCTTCTTACTGCATCACGCAAACGTTTCAAAATTTGAACGTAGTATTCTTTATTGATTGTCTGACCTGTTGGTGCATATTCGTGATGTACAACACCTTCACAATCGAAAAAAACAATCAACATTGACTTAACATTGCTCCGACTTTGACGTGCTTTTTCTGGTCTTGGCGATTCAGAATGCTTCTACTGTGAAGATTGTTGTTTTGTTTCAGGATCATAACCATAAACCCATGATTCATCACCTGTAATAACTTTTCTAAGCACATTATCATCATTATTGATCATTTCCAGATTGTCTAGAACGATTTCTAAGCGAATGCTCTTCTGCTCTGCTGTGAGCAATTTTGGGATGAATTTCGCACACACGCGTTTCATTCCTAAATTTAGGTTAAAATTTCTGAAATAATAATTTTTGGTATTCCAAGGTCTGTTTCTAGTTCCCGCACAATCAACGACGATCTTGTTCGATTGCAAGTCGCACCCGCTCAATATTATCTGCGGTTTTTGTCGTCGAAGGTCGACCGGAACGAGAATCACTATCGACAGAAGTGCGACCATCTTCGAACCGTTTATACCACTCTTTTATTCGTGTTCTGCTCATACACTCGCTTCCGAAGGCCTTTTACATCATTTCAATAGTTTCCAAATTCGTTTTTCCGAGTTGAAAGCAAAATTTGATGTAAATTCGTTGATCTTGTTTTTCAGTCATTTTTATCAATATCAAAATCCGACGAACAAGACACTATAAACAAAGACACGCTGCGCATGAACTAGACGTCCGGCAGGTGTCAGTTAGTAACCATTAGATTCGTGAGGCTTTACTGTTGACGTTTCTGTCCGGTAGAGGTCGCTCGAACACTATGGCGCGAAGACATAAACATAAGCCCGATACTTTCCGGACAGATCTCGTACTCATGATTTGCCAATTATAAAAAATGTAAACATATCCAGATATGCAAACGACACAGCGTTAATGATATCATATACTATTGAAATAACAGCTTCTAACAATATGCAAAAATATCTGGATGTAGCACTAAAATGGTTCAACAACTGCAGAATTACAATTAATGAAAGGATGTCAATCCAAGTAACCTACACTAAAAAAAGGAATATGCCCACCAGTACATATAAATAACCAACCACCAAATAACAATCAATAAAAAATAAACTAGTAATATATACCGCGATAATTAAAGAAGTATGGACATACGGTATACAACTGTGGGGCACTGCTACAAAATAAAATATAGAAATAATCGAAAGATTTCAAAACAAAACACTACGATTCATCACTGATGCTCTGTGGTTTGTCATAAACGATTACATAAGGAAGGACGTAAACATAGCAACCGTATGAGAAGAAATCGAAACATTCTACAAAATGTATACAATGTCTGTTAAAAAAGTATCGCGAATTTTGAATTTTCACGGGCTATGTAAATTTGATTTTTGAGTTTTTTGTAGCGTTATGTTGGTACTCATGTCTCTTATTTACGCTAACAAGGTTGGCTATTTTGAATGTTTAGTTAATTTTTGACAACTGTTTTCCTTGGATGTATTTTGGCTCGTCTTCGATTTTTCCTATTCTAAAAAATGGATTAAAGAATCTGTATCAAATTTTGTGTGAGAAACAAAATAAAGTGTGCGGACGCATTCTAAATGTTGACTGTGGCATATGATGAAGCTACCTTGGACCAAAGCAACGTTTATTGGTGGTACAAAATGTTCTCAGAGGGCCGAGAATACGTGAACGACTAACAACGTGCCGGACGCCCGAGCACGTCAACAACAAACGTAAATATTGATAAAGTGAAGAAAATAGTATTGGCCAATCGTCGAATCACCGTTAGAGAAGTTTCTGAGTATCTAAACATATCGATTGGCTCATGACATTCGATTTTAACCAATGATTTGGGCATGAGTCTGGTCGTCGCGAAATTCATGCCAAAACTGCTCAATTTCGACCAAAAACAGCATCACGTTAACATTACTCAGGAGATGTTGGACTCAGTCCGTCACGACCCAAATGTGCTCCCGAGGATCATACTGGTGATGAATCATAGGTTTCTGGTTATGATGTGGAAACCAAAGCTCAATCATCCCAATTTCAACTTCTATTTATTCAGTAAATTATGTTTAAACTTATATTTTCTTATTAAAAACAATTATTTTTAATTTTTACTCTAAAGATCTACAGCCTCAAAAAATTTTCCATTTCCACGAACTTTTTGAAGGATAGGAAATCTATTTCGACACTCGTTCTAGGTTTTCCTGTATTCTATAAGTAATTAGCTTTACATTGAAATCGATTTTATCAAAATCGGTCAATTCTTAGTTGAGATATTTCATTTTGAATATAATTTTTTGATGTTTTAATATAATACCACAGTGTGCTTCGTTTGGATCCAATTTAAAGTTGATCGTTTAATAAAGAAATCATGTGAGTAATGAAAAGAGTAATATGAGTATTTTTTACAGAATTTTATTAACTTTTACGTTCAAATAATTAAATCATATTAAATAATGTTACCAATTATGGTTAGTTAGAGGAATACATAAAAATTTTAATGCTTAATAAACTATAAAATTGGTAGTTGTACTTATAGGATTACGAAGATATAAGTGTTTCGAGGTTCAAACCATCAGACAATTGTTTTTGTTGTTGTTACAAAAAGTGCAAACCTAACGTGAATAAAATTCATGCTATTGTTTTCTTTGACATGCATATTTTTATAACTTTAGCTAATATTAGAAACATTTGTTTAATAATTATGTGATTTGGCAATTGCGCTTTTGTAAGCTTATCTTTAATTCTGTATGCCATTTTGTATACCAATGTCAGGCTAAGACTGTAAATATATCGTACGTATACTTTCAGACTTGTTTATATATATATGTTGTGAGTAGCGAGCAACGAGTGCAAGACCAAAAGAGGTAACGGTAATTACGACGTTATAAGAAGACGACGAGAAAAAAGATAGCGTGCCGGAGTTGCATAGTTATAGTTTATCTATATTACAGTTATTCTCTACAGTTATTACATCGCTTCTCATTTTTCTTATTCCACTACCATTATGTTCTCACAGACTGTATAATTACTTAGTGTTCTTTTATTAATTGGTGTATTTTCTGAAATTCTTCTTACATGAATATCATTTATGAGTCAGTTTCACATTAAACAAGATCGCAATCATGATTTTATTCGCAAGTGTATAGCGTCATTAAGCGCATGAACTAGAGAAAGAGATAATACAATGTTAGATTGGACGAGAGAAGGATACATCGTGTGGAAGGAAAAATTGCTAACGGGTGTGTCGAGCAGGTCAGTTACTCGTTCCTCGAGAGTCGAACTTGGGCAGCTTTTCGAGGAGCATTTTTTTTCGTGAAACGAGTTCTTTATAATAGAAAAGAATGACAATATGAGTTGAACAGTCATTAGTTAATAGCCTTGGGTGCGGTAAGGAGATCGACAAAAATTCTTAACCGAAGCTGTGACGAGAGTCTACAGTTTATTGGCTTTGCGTTTACCCGTAGTTACTTTTTAAAGATGAAGGTCACTCACTAGAGTTGCCATCAATTTGACCACTTTACTTGTCATCTTCGCTAGTTGACTTTGCCTTCGACACCGTCAACTATAGACCGACCAAATTAAAAAAAATATCCGCGAGAGTTTCTATGTTTCTGAAAGAAATTGACGTGCTGAATTCGAATCTGTCCTGAGAAATGATCCATCACCCTAGGTTTCCCAGATATTCTAACCTAAAAGAGTAAAAAAGACGGTTTTTTTATATATTTAAGGTTATATAACACCATAGAAAAAATTTGTTTTCTGAAAACTGAACACGACATTAGAAAGTTCTATTTTTTCTCTACAAAATGTATTTTTTTGATTAAAAAAATATTTTTTAATTCATATGATCTTTTAAGAGATTTACGTCTATGTTCAGTGCTTGTGTCATGTCATTGTAAAGCTCGCAGCGTTTAGCGTTCTTGGGCTTGAGATCTTCTCAATTACAAAAATATTGTACAATATGCATTTAGATTAAGTTTTTGTATTTGCCTTGTATCCGAGTTATATTTATATGTAACTTTGGGTCAACCTTATTGCTTAAAATATCTCCAAATCCTGAGGTATTATTTATCAATAGAGATTAAATTTCAATTTTGTGACTCATAAAATGCCTAAATACGTTACATTGACTCCGCAGAATTTGTTTCGTTATGGTTATGTTGTGAAAATGTGGTCAAATGGGTGAAAATATTTCTGCAAAAAAAACATTTTTTTAATCCAAAATATGCGTTTTGTAGGGAAAAGATAGAACTTTCTAATGGCGTATTCGGTTTTCAGAAAACAATTTTTTTTCCAGTGTTATATAACCTGGAAAATAGCAAAAAACCGTCTTTTCTGCTCTTTTAAGTTAGAAAATTTCGAAAATCTAGGATGATGGATCATTTCTGTTCATTCGGAAAATTGATTCCTGTTCAATATTTTTTTTTATTAATTATTGAACTTTTTTTGAAATTCTTGAATGAAATAAACTAAAAAATAATGTAAATCTATAATATTCCACGAAAAATTGAAATTAATCATGTATATTAGTTTTTATAAATGTATAGGTTATGTTGCCCTCCATCTTTTTCTTTATACATAACTTGGAAAAATTAATGATCCTGAAGATCCAAACAGGTTACAAAATTTGTTCTATTTTTAGAATCTTACTCGGAAGTTTATTTTATAACCTTCTATTTTCATTATTTAAATCAATTGAAATATTTTATCAATTTAGTATTTTATCAATGAATTGTATTCACGTAATGAAATTGTGTAGTTTTAAGTAGTCAACGCACTATTGTCATTTATATGATATTATTACTAATTATTAATGTAATTACTATTTATTAATGAAATATCATTGCTATTATAATTGTTTTATCTGTAATATCTCATATTTTTCAGGTAAGAACTAGCAATTATTTGCTCCAATGTCTATCACCATTCGATGTGCAAATACAGAAGATTTACTAAACATTCAACATTGTAATTTACAATGCTTGCCAGAAAACTATCAAATGAAATATTATTTATATCATGCATTGTCTTGGCCCCCATTGAGTTATGTTGCAGAAGATGAAAAAAATCGCATTGTAGGATATGTACTAGCTAAAATGGAAGAAGATTGTGAAGATAACCCACATGGTCATATAACGAGTTTGGCTGTTAAAAGGTCTCATAGACGATTAGGAATAGCTCAAAAATTGATGAATCAAGCATCACGAGCAATGGTAGAATGTTTTGGTGCTAAATATGTCTCTTTACATGTGAGAAGAAGTAATCGAGCAGCACTGAATTTGTACACAAGTAGCTTGCATTTCGAAGTATCTGAAGTAGAACCTAAATATTATGCTGATGGAGAAGATGCGTATGCAATGAAAAGAGATTTGAGTAATTTTCAACTAGAAATATCTTGTGTAAAATCTTCTATTGACTTGGATACATGCTCATTGGAAAAAAAATGCTGTAATCATGATGTTTGAAATAAATAAAATGATTATACACGTGTGAACTATATAACTCACTTCTTTTATTGAACATTTCAGAACTGCATGTTACTTCACAGGTTTATTTTTGCTATTTAAGAGAATACATAATATTAAAAATTTGTATGTTATAGTTTTGTATTTTATTTAAAAGATTAAACAAAGATGATAATACATTTGTAAACTTCGATTTGTGGCTTTGCAATAATTATTTTCACGTGCGAAGAATGATGAAACTTAGTTTTGTTAAATACCTGTAACAAATAATTCTTTGTTTGATAAAACTTTACATAACATGCTAAAAAAGAGTTGACAACTTAATTTCAACTACACATTTGAGTTCGAGTAAGAAAAATACTATATCGAGTGCGACTGCTGCTCGTTATGTCTCTCCCATGTCCTAATATACTTTTATAAAATTAAATTTATATTAATATGTACCACTTAAGTTTCAGCGGGCTGAAGTAAGGTAGGTGAGAGAGAGAGAGAGAGAGAGAGAGAGAGAGAGAGAGAGAGAGAGAGAGAGAGAGATATGGGTTCGATTATCGTACGCGCGGACCGTGAGGAGGGCGCTCGGTTTCTTGGCGTGAGAGATTCGGCTTTAATGTTTTGACGCGAATACACGTGCCCGGCTTGCGATCCAATCCCTTTGTTCTTGGTACTCAAGCTTGCGGCGACGTATGCGACGATGTATGCGACGACGATATCCAGAAAAGGAGAGTTTGGATAGACTAGGGAGTGTTTTGTGTCTGTCGCATTATTGAGTAAAAATTTGGTTGAAATTGAAGTAATGATATTAATATTAAATTTGAAAATCAAATTTATACAATAAAATATAGGTGATTGTTTGGAATGAAATTAAGGAAAGATAGGCTTTGTCCTAGTTTCTTATGGTGCGAAGTGTTTTGTAAGCAGAGCATAAGTCTCTCTTGGAAAAAGGATGTGATTTAGACAAAGTTTCCCATAGGGCGAAATGTTCTATGAGTCGAGCATAAATCACAATAGAAGGCTTGCTTAGCTAATCAGAAGAGAGAGAGAGACAACTTAAGTATAAACCAAGTTTATTCAATCTTAGCGCTCACTTCGTAAGGCTAGTATAGAAAACCTCACCTGTACCAAATGAGCATATATACAAATTTTAGAGCCCCATTTACGCAAAATAGCCCTTTTGACTCCGTTTCTGCAAATGTGCAAAATCATTTTCTCTTGTTTACAATAAAATGGACAACGCCAAAGAAAATTTAAATAGTGTAAAAAATACAGAATGTAATATAGATAATTTAAGCATAATTTCCATTTATCACAAAAATCGTAGTTAAATGTTATTAATTAACATAGTAGTTAATTCAATAGTGCAAATTTTACAATAAAATAATTAAAAATTTTTACAAAGAAAAATAACTTATCGCTTATAAATAGACATCATTACAAATAAGAAATTTCCAAATTGTTTAATAATATTTGAATAATAATTAATTTATGTTTTTGTCCAAATCTTATAATGTAAATATAAAATTGGTTAATTCAAAATTATCAATTCTGACAATTTTGTTAGTAAGTACAAAATCAACGCTTTCGATTATAATACTTTTACTTGTTTAAATAAAGTATTAATTTTTTATTTATTGATAAAAATAGTAACTAAGTTGTTATCAATTATAAGGGCTGCGCATGTGACGCGCGCTGCGGCCGCCGTCATTAGAAAATAATGAGGAGGGTTATAGGTTGTGTAATGCGGTACAAGGCCTTTCCTGAGCGTTGCATTATTTGCAACACCTCAGGAAAGCCATTCCCGTCTTTTGCCGCCCCGTAACCAGTTGCATAAAATGAAAACAAACGCGCCCTATAAGAAACAATTAACCTCTTTCATGCCCGAACAACCACACCGGAGATATTGGCGAAACAAGCTCGACGAACGCGATCCGACGGACACTCAAAAGAAAAAAAAAGGAGCGCACCACGGAATAAGAGAGCGCATGCACACACTCACGACCACGTGTTGCCGACTGGCGAAAGAAACACGGAAACTTCACTGGGAAATGCAACGGAAATGCATGTTAATGACACATGCAGATCCGTTACACTCCCAGGCACTAACACCGACACTGACGAAACACTGGGCGAGCAGAAAATTGCCGATGAAGTGGCAGCCGGCAATCAACTGTGTCGGGCTGCCGAACACCATCGGCGACATCCTGAGCGCCACACACACTCATAACGGTAACCACACACAAACACCCGGGAACACGTCACCTGACCGACTCGGGAGCGCCCCAGGAGGCGCTCCAAAGACTGTTACGGGAACACGAGGTGTACGTGCGAGAAAGCGAGCGGCCATTTTGAAGCGCCGAGATAAACTGAGCATGAGCGAGCGAGACCTACTGAGAGCGAGCGAGACAGACTGAGACAGAGCGAGCGAGACAGATTATATGAAATGATGAATAGAATTATATGTAAATGTGAAGATGGGGGCGCTACAATTGAGATGACTTACATTATATATTTATTCACAACGAACTAAAATTAAAATTATAAATGAACATAAAAGAGATACCGAATTATGAAAATTCGCATGCGACCGACACACCCCCTATTATAATAGCAAGCGACAAATACTCCGATAAATTTAATCGATAAATTAACTAACAGAATTCGAACCTCTGATGAAATTCGCTGGTGGTGTGACGACCAATAAGCGTATTAGAATAAAATTTGATTTCCGTCCGCATAGAAAAATAGATAAGAGTAGGGTAGATCTTTCCCATTAATTAATGCTAGCTAACTTAGGGGGGGGGGGGGGGGTAAGAGAGAATAAATAACAGTAGATAAGCAATGTATGTTCTGGGACACAAAGGAGCCGACAAAGGATGCCGCCAATGTATAAGGATACGTGTATGTTCTGGAACACAAAGGAGCCGCCCGATGAAGGTGTGAAGGACACCTTTTGATTTATGGTCAGACCCCATGGTGAGTGCCTAAAAGGGATTTGATGTACCTTTGACACCTTCCGCGTGCCAGTGGGCCCCATGCTGAGTGTTAAGGGGCATTTGATGTTGGTTTGACACCTCGCGCGCGCCGCCAATGTATAAGGATACGTGTATGTTCTGGGACAGAAAGGAGCCGCCCGATGAAGGTGTGAAGGTAGTGACACCTTTTAATCGCGATAAGGTGAGACCCCATGCCGAGTGTTGCATTTGATGTTTGTTCGACACCTCCGGCGTGCCAGTGGGCCCTTCGAGAGGGCCAGTCTTCCCTCCCCCTCGATAGTAGGACGCTTCACCCACCAACCCACCCACAGAGGTTGTTAAGGTAGGATGCTGTAGAAGTCGGTAATAGTGCGGATGCTGTTTTCTCTCTCTCTCTCTCTCGCTCTCCTTCGATAGTAGGGTGCTTATACTAGCTGAGTGTGGACCCTTGGAGAGGGGGTAGCGTCTCTAGCTTGCTAGGCGCGTACGCCGTATAGTGAGGATGCTGTTCTCTCTCTCTCTCTCTCTCTCACTCTCCTTCGATAGTAGGGCGCTTATGCTGGCTGAGTGTGGGCCCTCGGAGAGGGGGGTAGCGTCTCTAGCTTGCTAGACGCGTACGTCGTATAGTGTGGATGCCGTTCTCTCTCTCTCTCGCTCTCCTTCGATAGTAGGGCGCTTAGTAAGCTTATGCTAGCTAAGTGTGGGCCCTCGGAGAGGGGGTAGCGTCTCTAGCTTGCTAGGCGCAGCCACCACCCACCCACCCACCCACCTCCTACCTTTTGTCTGACTACTCCCTCTTCAACCTACAGCGCCGAAACCGCTGCTTTCAACGCCACCATAGTGCTTAAAAGCCGTGCTCGATGGGAAAAGAGCGCAGTCTTTCGAGACAGCCCGCTTCACTAGCTTTCTTAGCAGTGACAAGCAGTAGTAGTAGTAGTAGTAGTAGTAGTAATACTAGTAGTAGTAGTAGTATTACTAGTTGACCTACGTGCATTTTCATTACAATGGCTTCTATTGCTTATTTTGAAAATACAGTACGCGATTTATGGAAAGCCTATTACAACTCAGACGCTAATAAGGATGATTTTATTAGATGGAAAAATATAATAATTACCGCTTTGCATTCTCTTGAAGAATATATGTTACGGCCTAACTTAAGTAGAGCAATACGACAGAGATGTCAAACATGCGCTACTCATTTAAATTCAATCGAAATTAATTTAAATAATTCCATAAAAGTCGGAGGAAATGTTAATTCATTACGAGTCATTCCAAACCAAATTGAAGGGGATGGAGTTATTTGGCGTGAAATAAATTCAGCATTTGAAAAACGTATCATTACTGCATTCATAGCCAATCAAGAACATAGAGATATAAAGTCATTCTTAAAAGCAGCAAATAAATTATTACAACTACAAATACCAAAATATCTTTCAATTCATAATGCTCTAAAAATAAATATAGAAATGTCAGCTCAATTTACCGTAATAAAAGATAATGTAGAGGACATTCAAATAAAGTATTTCAACACCGAAAATGTTTCTATTTATAAAACGACAGATCTTAAATTATGGTTTACAGAAAATATTGAAGATGTTATACTTAAAAATTTAGAAGAATTTCAAGAAAAAGATTCCGGTTGGACATTAAAAACTATCATCGGTATTACTGTTAATATAAATAAATTTAATCCTTTCAAACCTGGCTCATATATTCAACTACCAAAACAAATAGCAGATAAAAAAGCAATTATCAACGTTCAAAATACAGATAATGAATGTTTTAATTGGGCTGTGCTTGCCTGTCTTCATCCAGCTAGATTTCATAGCGAAAGAGTTCAAAATTATATGCCCTTTGCGAATGAATTGAAATTCGATGATATAAAGTTTCCTGTTGAGGTAAAGAATATTCCTAAATTTGAAAAATTAAATAGTATTTCAATAAATCTATACATACTAAAAAAATACGGTTTGAAATTCGAAGTCTCACCATATTATATATCAACTTTAAAACAAGATAAGCATGTAAATCTTTTGTTACTACAAAGCGATTATATTGATGAGAATGA